AAAACCCCACACACAAAAATGCTTTGAGGTGTGGAGTTTAGTTTAAAATCAATGGCTTCCATTTACCATACAGTTCAGTTCCAAGATGTTCAGTAATATATATATATATATATATATATATATATATATATATATATGAAATACTAGGACAAAAGCGATATGAAGACAAAACAGGTACTACTTTGGCTTACTTTTATTCCCTACACCAGGCAAAACAAGTCAGTGGAAGAACTGCCACCATCTGGTTGTCATTCACCTAGCTGTTACAATGAAAAAGGCTTTATCTATGAAGGATTCTGTGGGATGCTCCCTAAACCTCAGTGTTGTACTCTTGCACATGCGCAAGAGAACCACACTGGTGTAGAGTCATGGCAGATGAAGCACCAGGAGCTGAAGAGGACCCCTTAGAGGAGGATGGCAGAAGACACAAGGAACAGGTTCAGGTAAGTAAAACACCTTTCCCTGCACCCCATGGACATTGCATGCAGAGCAATTGGGGTCTTTGCAAGATATGTACAGTAGCAAAGTCATATGTTGCTTTACATCCACACATATCTTTTCCACTTTTCATTATATAATCACATCTGGACACCATTTGAGGAGCTTCAGGTATATTCACAATACAGCAAATTGAAAAATTCAAGCTAAAAATAGCCAATTTCCATAACTAGAACAAAGCAGTAGACTTTTCCCAAAGCAGCAAGTTGTCTAAAACGTTGAATTTGGTTTACAGCAAACAAGTCCCTTTGAGTTACACCAGTGTTAAGATATGGGCTTGAGGTAATGTTATATCTGCACAAGTTATTTGTATTAATAACAGTGGAAGATGAACAATCCAAAATGTTCTTTATGGGCTGCTAAAACATACATAAACAAAGTTTTTATATATTTTGTTGTTGTGCAAAGTATTGACAAACACGTATATAATGCCACGACAGCATGCATACACATATCAATAGGAGTAATAGCATGGAATTTGTTAAAGCTGCACATTTTTCATTATGGTTTAATATTAGAACTCAAGCTAGATTGAAGTGTCTATTCAATAAACACACATTTTAGGTGAAATTAAGAAAAAAAAAAACCAATAATTTCCAGTCCTGCAGAGGTTAGACTAAATAGGAAGTCATACCGCTCTAGTTTTGCTGCAAACATCGGACAGCTCCAGGCTGGAGGATCGACCACCTCCTCCGTCCGGTGTGCCTCAGGCCGCATGGTTGGAGCAGTGCAGCAAATTAGCTCTTTGTAGATTTTTAAACCCCACAGTGGGTCCCAGGAGGGTCAGGAGTTGTATACTTCTATAAAGTGGTTCCCTCTGAGGCTGAATGTGGGTGAGAACTGGTTCAAGCTTGCCTAGGAGAGGAGCTCCTGCAAAACACTTCTCTCCTCCATGACAGTCAGGCCCCGCCCCCCACAAAATTTATATTTTAAAGACCCACTGTGGCAGGAGGATATTCTTTCCAGTCCGAAAGCTTGTTGACCAGAGTCCTCATCAACCTATTGTTCCTCTAACATTTTGGATTTGTCTAATTTTTTGTTAAAATATCCCCCTCTTATAATATTGCTGAATAAGATGGCACTCTAAATGCCAAAAATAATAATGTAAAATAACCTAAAGTGACAATATATTTACCAATATCAATCTGTTCTACAGCTTCCTCCACTGTGACACCAGGTGCAGACACAGTCTTCACAAATGGGTATAAATTGCAAACTACAACCCTGGAAGAAATATGTACACAAAAATAAAGTTTTAGTTACAACACATGATAGATTAGAATACTCCTTATTGTACACTTGTCATGACCAACATGAACAGGCGTTGCTTTATAGCAATTAACATTTCAAATACACATTGTACTAACTGAATTGCTACCAAAATCTTGGGATTAAAAGGGTCACTGTACTTTTTTTATATTTCTAAATTTAAACTACAAATTGGTGGGCAGGGGCACCAAGATGTGTATTAACCCAATTATGAATTGTTTAAGACTGTTAATGTGTTGAGTAGTCCAAGAGGATTAAATTACATAGTTTAAGGGACCACTATAGTGCCAGGAAAAAAATACTCATTTTCTTGGCACTATAGGGGCCTGAGGGTGCTCCCACCCTCAGGGTCCCCCTCCCGCCGGGCTGGATGGAGAGGAAGGCGTTAAACTTACCTCCTTCTCCAGCGCCGGGCAGGGAGCTCTCCTCTTCGGCTGAATGTGCATGCGCGGCAGGAGCCGCGCGCATTCAGCCACTCCATAGGAAAGCATTCACAATGCTTTCCTAGGGGCGCTGGCATCTTCTCACTGAAAAGTCATAGTGAGAAGCGTGGAAGCCCTCTAGCGGCTGTCAATGAGAGCCACTAGAGGCTGGATTAACCCATTTATAAACATAGAATAAGTGCGCTAATTATTTGTGAAATATAAATTCAACTCACTATACAAAAAGAGTGAGATAGTGTATATTTGCACAAATATTGTGTACAAGTGCTATATTTAAACACTCTTAATACTCTTTAACTGTGTATTATATAAAAGATTCTTAATACCAAAAAGTGACTTAGTGTATTAAAAAAGTGGTACACTTCCTTAAAATCATATACTGGGAATAACTCAATCTCCAGATAATGTACATAAAAAAGAACATATATATAGTGAAATATTGCTATTTAACAATAATACAGCATGTGTGTAAGATTTTTCACTCACAAGCAGAGAGCAGATGAGCCTGCTCTACTTCTGACAGCTCCAAATGCCGATTAATCCACTGCAGCCAATAAAGAAAGATGGTTTATTTCCACAGATAAAAACAGCATACATATATAAAATCCGGATCCCTGTAGAAGACTGTCCTTAAGTGGGTTCGTGCATCCGCCGGCTAAAATATTCTGTCAATTGTCTGTGTGTACACAAGCCGACTTCAGGTGTCGGAAGTATCCTGAGGACTTTGCCGATCGTGAGGGTGCACAGACAGAATATTTTAGCCGGCGGATGCACGAACCCACTTAAGGACAGTCTTCTACAGGGATCCGGATTTTATATATGTATGCTGTTTTTATCTGTGGAAATAAACCATCTTTCTTTATTGGCTGCCGTGGATTAATCTGCATTTGGAGCTGTCAGAAGTAGAGCAGGCTCATCTGCTCTCTGCTTGGGAGTGAAAAAAATCTTACACACATGCTGTATTATTGTTAAATAGCAATATATATATATATATATATATATATATATATATATATATATATATATATATATATATATATATATATATATATATATATATATATTATGTACATTATCTGGAGTATTATTATTATTATTATGTTAAAGAGTATTAAGAGTGTTTAAATATAGCACTTGTATATTTGCACAAATATTGTGTACACTATCTCACTCTTTTTGTATAGTGAGTTGAATTTCTATTTGACAAATAATTAGCGCACTTATTCTATGTTTTGATTCTATTGTTGGGTGTTAGGAGCTGATACACTTTATAGGTGCTGCTTTTAAATAAGGTCACTATTACTATTATAAGCGCCTTTTTTCACTTGTTATATTATAGTTCCATTTATAAACATAGCAGTTTCTCTGAAACTGCTATGGTTATAGAAAAAAGGGTTAAACCTAGCTGAACCTGGCACCCAGACCATTTCATTAAGCTGAAGTGGTCTGGGTGCCTATAATGGTCCTTTAAATCTGCCTACTGATGGTTTGTAAGCAAATCAATCTAATTTCAGCCACTAGCAGGTGTACAAGATGGATATGATTTGTCAGTCAACACAGAAAGCGTGTGCGCGCACACACACACACACACACCTTCTGAACCTGGCTACAGCGCATTAAAAGTTGAGGCAAAACAGCATGCTATCACCCTTCCAACTAAATTAACCAAATTCTTTCAATACCTTACAAGGCTGAAACCCAGCCTGGTGAGGTCAGCCTGGTCTTCAGTGCTGCTTCTCGCAAGGATCCCTGAACAAACAGAAAAGAGGATACATTTCTGCAATAAGTTTAGAGTTACCAAAACTGTAAGAATATTAGAACACTTACAACACAGAAAGAAGGAGAAGATTATAAGGCAAATACTTGGTTGTTGAAGTGAAGCTGCCACAGTTCAGAATTTAAAAAAAATAAAAATTTTAATCTCAAGTTCCATGACTTTGTATCTCCAGAAACATTGGTACACATGCTTGTTTTTTTTAAATCATGATATTGCTGGCCCATGCATTCATTCTCAAAAAAAAAAATTATATCAAGTTACACATTATGCCACCTAATACAATACCCCCCTCAATTTAACATACTGCCCTGCCCCCACCCCCCAATTTAACACACTTATACTTCAGGAAGCCCCTCTTCCACCCACATTAAGTGGTCTTCCAGTCTAGCCCTGCACTATTGTCTCAAGCAAGCCACACACTCCTCTGGCACTGGGAGCAGCAGGGAAGGGGGAGTGGTACGCCTGCTCTGCGCACAGCCAGCTACTCTGCACAGTGTAGCACCGTCGCCAGATACGATTCCGTACCCTGGATGTGCATATCCGGCGGCCAGCGTGGAAGAGCAAAGATACCCATTTTTGGATGCATGTTTGCTGTACAGTGTCAGGCACAGTTCATGCACAGCTATGCATCCGTACTCTCCCCCCTGCAGGGTCAGATGAGTTTTTTGTTTTTCTGCCCTTGAATGTATACAGGCTTCCTGTCTTTCCAGCACTGTAAGGGTTGAACAGTAGGGTACTGGCTAATTTAAACTCTCTGCTGATCTGCTTCTCCTATTAAGCCAAACACAACCCTAACAAAGTGACTGAGCATTTTTTGGGCATCAGTGCCCAAAATTACACAGGAAACTAGTTTATTGATCTTAAAAAGTACCAACATGAAATAAAAAAAATTTAATAGAAAAAGTTTCTAATTTAAACAAAAATAAAGTTGCCAAACTTTAGCCTCAAAACCATAATGGACTTGGAGAGGATCTGCAAAGAAGAGTGGGACAAAATCCCTCCCGATGTGTGCAAACCTGGTGGCCAACTAGAAGAAATGTTTGACCTCTGATTGCCAACAAGGGTTTTGCCACCAAGTACTAAGTTGAAGGGGTTAAATACCCTTTTCACTTATTGACATGCAAATCAATTTATAACTGACATGCGTTTTTCTGGATTTTTTTTGTTAACCCAATTGGTTCTAAATCCAATAAATTCAGGATTTACTGAAATGAAAATATTTGAGAATTTAAAGTGAATTTCAAATTTTGGGCCAGAGTAGCCAAACTTAAAGCATAGGAAAATTCACCTTTAAGTTTGACATTTTCTTTGAATTCCCCCAAATTCTCACTGCAGTTGATAGCCATGTGAGATTAGTAGGGTTATTCACTAAAATGAAAATTCTAAGTGAATTTCAAATTCAAGGTTAACATAACCAAAATGGAAATATTCTCTAAGTCAGCCATGATTCAGTTTGGCTTCTTTGGTCTGAAGTTCAAATTCACCTTGATTCACTTTAATGGATAACCCTGTCGATGAGATTTCTGAAGCGCTTATGGGAGGTTATTCATAAGAGAATGCTGCATCAGAAGCTGCGTTCATACATTTGATAAGGACGTCTTTCTGTTTTGAGGTGGCATGGCTAAGGAAGCAGGCTTATGGTAGAATACTTTGTAAACCAAGTATTTGAGCAGACAAAAAAAAAAAAAAAACCCCACAAATACAATATATGACTTGAGGCCAAAACCTATACAAATAAATAAGATATGAAATAAATGGTCTTACCTGCATGGACTGCTGGGTGCAGAGTCTTCACACGTCCACCCAACATCTCGGGGAATCCTGTAAGCTCAGATACATCTCTGAAACAAAATTAGCAGAGTTCAAATGGTGGAACACACAAAAATAATCTTTAGGTTCACCTAGTGATGTTCAAAGATAATGCAAGAAAATACTATATAACAAGGTGTACAACATATAATTTGTAAAAGTAACTAGAATAATTTACCCTTTGGTTTTAGTAAAAGATTGTAAGAAGATTCCCCTTATCTTCCATAAAAATATACAAATAGTGTAATACTGTATAACACCAGAAAAGAGGGTAATTATTGCACTTACAAAAGTACGATTGATTGTAGGCACGTAGAACTGTTTAAAAAAAAAGGTTTATATTGTTACACTATGTGCTGGTCTCTTTTCCTTTCCCTCTATGCACGGAACGAGAGAAAGGAGGAAATAAGGTCATATACGCTAAAGGCTTTCTACGTGCCTACAATCAATTGTACCTTTGTAAGTGCAGTAATTACCCTCTCTTTTCTGGTGTTATACTATTTGCGTTCTTTTATTCCTATAGATTGTATATTCTTATGATGTTCCAATCTCCAAGCAAATGTTAAAAAGCTCACATGGGAGACAACGCAGTTTTTCAGTAAATCTGTCTTGGGTTGAGGAATGCCAAGGTGACAAGAATTGCCAATGTGGTTGGGCATTCTGTTATTTTCACCAGATTTTCTCCATTCGGGCAAAGTCTGGTATTTTGTGAATAGCACCTTTACATATTTTGGATGTGAGCACGGATTTTACCTTAACACTTGCATGAGCTTCCAGCTGCAGATAAGGTTGTGACAAGCGCCACATAGATCCTAGGTAAGTATGGCTACTTTGGGATGGTGTCAGAACACTGCTGGCACCGTAAACACTACAGCTGACTATGCAAGTTATGGTGCTCGGAGGGTTCCTTTAAGCTGTAGAGTTTACAGTCTACACTTCAGTACCCAAGATTGCCCTGCCATGACACAAACCTATGTGTTTGTGGTGGTGCTGATAAAGTGTTCCACTACTAAATATACACACACTTTAGTAAGTCTGGCACTCATCCTCACAGTGGAAATCAATAATATATAAACCAAGGTACTGCACAGCGCAGGA